AGTGAAGAAGAGTCAAAGCTGGTGCAGTTATTAGGTGCGTTAATAGTGGTGGGTGGATTGGAGTTGAGTTCTGATGAAACGAGACAGTGGATTTTGTTTATTACAAGAACGGAATGTGCTGATGAGCGATACGTTTGTATGGCTCTGTCGGTTATTTTCGCATGTGCACGTTTGATTTCGTTCGTTTTTATTGTTGATTTCATTCGTTTGTTCATTTTTACCCTTTCACCTGACATACCACCAACTAATTTATGTGAAATTAACAGCCACAGCCAGGTATATTTATTTTGCTTGAGAATAAATTCCGAAATGAAAACTCTGGTAATTCATTTCTGAATAAATTCTGAAATTTTGGTAAAATTCTGAGGATTCTTTCATAATGAAAACGAAAATAAATTCTGGTAAATTTGATTGAATGTATTTTATGAAGTGATAAAATTTGCTGAATATTCTGTGAGATTCGTTTTGTTTTACATCAAATTATGATGAAGAATTCGACAGTTTTCGTAAAGAGTGACATAACGAACTGAAGTAAACAAGTGTTTGTCAGTAATAGAAATGAGTTACGATGGATTTCCAATAGTTTTAATGTGCACTTTTTGATAGTTCTGCGATTCGCGTAATGACTACCTACTTATAATTTTTATTTGTCATTGAGTAATCATATCTTTGATTCAACGACTAACTTTGGGAGTGAAATCGATTTTGCTGATTGAAGGAATTATTCTGACGAGAGCAGAGAAATAGATGACTCGTTGATCGCGTTTTTTGATTCTATTAAAACGCGTATCAGATCAGCTGATTGTTCATCAACGCTACAACATTTCATCTTATTGGTATCCATTCACTTGCATTCAAATGACACTCGCAAATTGGCTAAACTCATCTCAAGTTCGTTATACTTCGAGGTATTTTAATAATATAATTCTGTTATTCTCACAAGCTGTGTTTTCATCATTTATTTTTTCATTATTTCTTGTTTTTACTGCATTCGGCAATATCGTCATGTTCACTTTTGGGTTTATCATTTATTATTTAACCGTTGTTTTCTTTTTGTTTGCCCATGCGAGAACCTTGTCAGAATTTATTCATAGTCAGTCAGCAAATCCAACTTATTACGAGTTTATGCCTCTCTGTTATTACCAGTATCGCTGATATCACTATATCACCAATATCACATTCTTCTTTCGTTGGTATTTTTCTTTCCCCGCAGTTAACGATAATAGCCTTGGAAATCATTTGTATTCAAGAAATTCTGTGTTGTTGGCATTTTAACAGGAAAAGAGATGCTTGGAAGTGGTAATATGTAAATATCGAGGAGCATTTTCGCAAAGTGTTTAGTGGTGAAATGATTGATGATGAGTGTTAAAAAATCGGAACAATTCAGATCAAATTGGATATCCGTTCACTGACCAAAATAAGATCGTTGTTCCTACGGCACGCCACCAGTGAGCGTGAGTTGATCCATAAAGTATCATTATTGCCAGTTATAACGAAATTCAATGGTTCACATAAAGGCTTTCTATCGGCACATTGCATCACACAGCTTCTCACTGCCAGATCGTTCGCCAAACACTCAATTCCTATTCATGTATGCCATTCTTATTATTGTATTTATTTTTTCGTTAGTATTCATCTGAATTGAAAAATATCTTCTTTACATGTCGGATTGTGCACTTCTTTTTTTTGAGTTTTGCTGTTTTTATTATCCACTTCAATTTCACAATATGTGAGATGTTAAATATCTGAGTTGTTTTTCATTTGTAAATCCACGCAGCTAAATTTACGGTCGTTGAGCAACGCATCAATTTGCAGTGTATCAACAATGAGTTCGTTTTTTTCAACAGATNTGTTTCACTAGGAAACAATGTCAAATAAACCTGCCAAATATATTACGTTATGTGCTATCAATATAAAGGATCAGATCAATTACGCATTACAATGACAATGATGATAAAAACTGTAACAGTGATAGTAATTAATACGATTATAGGAATGGATATCGTCGCAAATAGTTGAATGTACGATCCCTGTACATCCAGCCATAGTGGAACTGATTACGTCCTATGCATCAAGTTGTTTACCGATTGATTCGGATTGTAACGTCTCTGAGCCGTTATCTCAGCAGTTTATTCAGGTTCGTACATTTTACAGCTTCAACTGATATGGAAAACCAGGTGTATCACTTAGCATTGTTGTTTGAATATTAACCTCAAGGCTTTGTTTGACTGTCCGAGAAAACACTTTTTTCGAGGGGAGTTCATATTTTTTACGTATCTTCTTATCTTTATGTTTTTTTGGATAAATATGACTGTTCAGAGAACGAGTTCATAAATCCGTAGTCCTTAGAGAGTGAGGTCTCTATTCTTGAATGAGTGAAGACTGGGAGGCTTATATTCAAAGAAGTGCAGCGCACTGAAACAATTGTTCTTTCTCACTTCCGAACAATGCGCATTCATCATTGTTCGGAGTAATATTTCCCGTGAATTGAGTTCGTTCGAAAATAAATAAACTGTTGCGAATGTGTTATGGAAGTCTTCGAAGGGTTCGAATGATACACCACTAAATAAACTGAAATAAAAATTAAAGGAATTATTCTTTGGTGATATGATCGATGAGCGTAGGCTTGTGCCACGATTGTTGACATTGTTTTTTATGTTGTCACTAAAATATCAGCTTGACAAATTCGACTACAGTCATCATAATAACGTTAGCTACCCATACAAGTAGGTTTATTTTT